AGAGTGAATCACACTTTTGATCTCTATAGTTTGCTCCAAAACTTATTAGTCTCTTATAACAGTTGTTAATAGATGTAGTGGTGCTCATGGATTGGGTTGATCAGGTTGAGGACTTTTAAACAATCCAACTCAATGCTTGCGGTTTGAAAATTTTTAACCCAACCCACCCAAATCGTACGAGTTGATACTTTGATACATTAAAATATTTTTTTAACCTTGAATATGTTATTTCTCTACTCATAATTTCTTTTTCATCATCAACCATTTGATATAACTTATCCATACTTCTAACGTATATCACATTCAGTTAATTTTCTCAATTTACATATATATGTTCACAGTTACTGAACATATATAGGAATGGGTTATATAAGAGATGAAGAATAGATTGAAAAAATGTATGTATGAAGAATGTACATAATCGTGTAATTGTCTAATGTATATATTAATATAAACTCAACAATCATATTAAATTCAAGAAATAAAAAGATATATGGTTCATCGGGTTGAGATGGTTTTAAATAATAATTACCCAATATCAACCTAATATCTACGGTTTGAAAATTTTACAACTGGATTAGACATCGAGTGCTTCAGGTTGAGTTATTTTGCGTTGGGTTGATCGAGTTGGTCGGGTTTTTGAACACTCCTAAATTAACGGTATTAATTCAAGGGATTTTTATCGTTATGAAATAGAAAAGTTAGGAACCATCAATATAAATAGTTTGTTTTAAAGATCAAATCCTAAATTTAAACAGATGTAATTCACTCTGATATAAAAAATAATATGAGGGAATTAAGTATTTTAAAAATAACTGGAGGGGAAAAATGTCAATATATTATTATAGTTTCTGATTTTTCTAACAAAAAATATCTATATATAAACCACAAGGGTGGTGCCTGATTGGTTTGAGCTTGACTTCAAAGATCAAAACTACCAAGAGGTTCAAGGTTCAAATTCAAAGAGAAATAAAAATCCCCTTGTGGCCATAGAGGTTCAAATGCGGTGACTCCGGGCTATCTGTAAAGCAGGTGGTCACCCTGAGATTAGTCGGCTTCTATAGCGGTTTGGATATCCAGGTTAATAAAAAAATATCCGTATATAATATAAATAAATTATAATATGAATCTTTTTTTTATATATTTAATGACCACACTAATGGCCTTTGGAAGACCCACCTCTATTAAATAGTAAATCATAGAGTAAACTACAATTTTCATCATGTGGTTTGTAAAATATTACAATTTTAACCCTTATGGTTTTGAAATTTCAATTTTTATCCTTGTAGTTCGTAATTTGTTTTTTTTTTATTAACTTGGATATTCAATTCGCTATGCAAATCGACTAATCCCAAGACAATCACTCGCTTCGCAGGTAACCTGGAGTCATCGCATTTGAATCTCCGTAGCCATAAAGGGATTTTTTTATTCCTCTTTGGATTCGAACTTGGGACCCCCAGATACTTTTAATCTTTGAAGCCCTAACTTAAACTAATCGGACATCACCCTTATGGTTTAATATGTTGTTGTTTGTGTTTTCATTGTTTGTAATTTATTGTTGTTTTTTCCCTAAGACTGAATCTATTAAAAATCCTCCATTTAATTTAGTGGTATTTCAGTATTTTTGGTTTTTTTTTTTTCCTTTTTGGTTTATTAAATATCTTTTTTGTTTTTATTTATTTTAGTCTTTTTGATTTATTCAAAATATATATTTTTTGATGAAACAATTAATACATAAAAAAATTCTAAGTTATTATTATTATTTATGTAAAATAATAAACCAAAAAAAACTAAAATATTTAATAAACCAAAAAAACTAAAATATCTGTAAATTAATGAAGAAGTTTTGACATATTTAGTCTTAGATATGAAAACATTAATAAATTATAAACCATAAGGACTAAAATTACAATTTTAAAACCACATGTATGAAAATCGTAATCTTTGTCAAACCATACGAACAAAAATCATAGTTTACTTTTGTCTAGTTGCTACTCATTATCACTTTTGGTTCATATTTTAGATTAATTACAATATTGGCCATTATGTTGTAATTTTGTTTCATTTTTGGTCCAGACTAACTTTAATTAAAAAAGTTAGTTAACATAACAATATTTTATCCTCTAAAATAACCCAAATATGTATATATACCATTTTAAGTTGGGTTTTAGAAATAATATACCGTTTTTTATTTATGTAAGATAAACATCGAAATTTATTTATGTTTATTAATAAAAATTGTATCATATTTAGATATTTTGTTTAATTAAGTGTTTTTTTAAATGTATATAAATAAAAAACTTTATAATATAATTATTTAAAAAATACGAAATATAAACTCAAAATTTATTATATTAAAAAATAAATAATCAATTAACAATCACATATTATAAACTGATAATAAGCAGTTTTTCATAAGTCAGAAAGGATTATCTTATCAAAAACAACTTATTACCGGTTTGGCACCGGTATAAACAGTTTTTTTCTTCTTATACAAACACCAGAAAACAGCTTATCATCGATGTCAGACTAAGATAAGCTAAAAAGCAGTTTTTATAAGCAATTCTAAATACCCTCTAAAAACTCAAAAAGTTATGGGGTATTTTTTAGGAACATGTTAATAAAAACCAAGCTCTACATCACATCACTTTTTATGTCAACGTCATAATTAGTTAATGGTTAAATTGTGGTCTGAATATCTCATGTTCAAATTTAATGAGTAATAAAAATTCCCTTGTGGCCATGAAGATTCAAATATGATGACTTCGGGCTACCGACAAAACAGGTGGTCGCCCTGAAATTTGTCAACTTGCATAACGGGTCGGATACCCAAATTAATAATAAAAAAATACGTTACCAAAAATAAAAAATCAGATCAATTCGTTATATCTTCATGCCATTTGCCCTTCTATAAAACACCAACGTTTAATTATATTCCAGGAATATTTGAGTTTTAAATATTTTTAAATACGAATAATAATTTAAAAGAAATTCACATACATTTTTTGTGATAGACTTTATTGGAATTATTGCTATTCGATTAGGGGTGGCTAATGGCACCCTAAAGTTAGGTAATCATTTCATTTTTTGTTATTTTTTTTTGTCTTTTTTTTTATACTAATTTTTCTAATTATCTTATTATAAATATATTATATATTTTTCTTTCTCTTTTAATATATTTTTTTAAAAACCTTACTTTTTTATTTTTAAGATATATATATA